GCAGCCGCCAGCACAGAGGGGTCAGGAGGCGTCCTGAGGGACGCCCTCACCCCTGACCTTCATCCCGTAGCTCTTTGCTGTCGTGGATGACATAAAAGAAGAACACAGTGAGACCTTATAGGATGTGATCGGCCCTGCTCCGCTTCCTTAAAGCAGTCAGAAGCCCTGATATTTGTCACCAGGGAAAAGCAGGAAATGCAGACGGTGGATGGGGGAATGATTTCATGGGTTGAAAATTGAGGACATCACAAGGGTTCCTACAACCTTTGTTGACACATATGTAGCAGAAGTTATTATTTCCCAGTCTCTGAGAGAGTTCTCAATTTCTCCTTCTCTCTGTTGGTCTTCCTCTCCCCTTCCATCCATCCGGTATATGTGTAGGAGGGATAAAGGTCGTCCTTTTGTCATCAAAACTCCAGATTAGTTTTGCCTCGGTGCATCTGACTCTCCGCTTTATCACTGTGGCCAGAGGAGCCACAAGGTTCAGCTCACCCCTCTGCAAAGTAATAACTCCTACCAGCCACTATTCTATTCTCTGCTGCTATCTGCTGCACTACTATTACTACTCCATTCTGAGGTGGGGGGGATTATTTTCGTGGCACCTGCTTTATTGGGCTGTATAGTAAAGACTGACAAGGAGAGGGGGGAACAGGAAGATATGACATACGACATAGAGTTTGTGTCACAAGCCACCATCAAACTGACAAAGTTGTAAGAGTCGCTTGATCCACTGAGGCCCAGAGCAGAGCTAAATGAGCTGCTGACAGCATGTCTCCAGCCTATCTGGCTTTTATTTTATTATTTGTGCATTGATGTGGTTTTTTTTTTTGTAATTTGATGACTTGGGGATTTTGCTGAAAGTCAGTTTGGCTAATATCACAGCAGACTCCACAACAAGACGGCGAAATGAAGGATATTATTGAAATGTTTCCTCTGGCTTTCGGCGCTGTGAGCGACTGCAAGTAAGACAGAAAATGCTGCCAACGGGGAACGGAGATCTTCTGAGGATTACGTAAAAGTGGCATGTGATTTAGACAAGTGTCTGCAAGAGCATGAATGCAGCGCGAGATGATTACACCGTCAATTAGAGCGCATGAATTAGCGTACAGCCTGTCCACTCTTGCAGGCGTTTGTTAACCTTCTCCCCTCCATGTAAACACCGGTCCCCTCTGCCTTCAGCTACAGAGACTACCAGGTCAGAGGTCAGCGGGGGTACATCAAGGTCGCTGACAGTTTTCAGAGCAATGATGCTCTCTGTTTCCGTCTTAATGGTCTTAGCTTTCAGTTCAGCTCATTGAAATCTTCAATTTTCCTTCCTTTTTTAAATCTGTTCATTCTGTTAAATCAAGTTACTTGATCCACTATTAGCTCTTGAACCTAAAATAGCATTCTGATCGTTTACTTCCTGTTTTTTTTTTTTTACACTTGTGACATGAAGAAACGCCGGATTGATTTAAAAAAAGTTTTATTTTAAATCTTGCACACCTCGAAAGCCGAGGATCCGTTGAGCTGGAAACATGCAGCAGGAAAGCAAGGCCCTTTCAAAAGAAAACATAATTGCTCCTAAACACAGCTCACAGTTAGCCTTTTGCTTGGTTCTTTTTTTCCAAGGAATGAAGCTTCAGGTGTGTTCACTACTTTACAAAATTAACAGTCTGAATCCCACTTAACGGTATGTTTTTCCATACAAGAGTATGGGATACTGTAATATTTCAAATATATATGAAAAAAAATGCCATTTTGAGAAAATAACTAATTTCGAGTTAGCTCTGCCAATTAGGAAGCTTTGTGAAGTTACATCATTTCCTTGTTACCCGGAAGCAGAAAGCTAAAGGCATCCACATTCCAAACCTTCATGCTATGTTATCGTTCACTAGAAGGCATTCAAAGCTGAAGAACGTGGTGCCAGTTTGTTCACATTGGTAGCTCACTGATCCTGTCACTATTCGAGTGCTCGTGCATATGCGTCATCTGCTTCTGGGAAAAGGGCATCCTTCATGGAGCATCCTGACTGGCAGAGCTGATGCAAAAGAAATCAGAATTTCAAAATATTAAGTCAAATTGTTGACATACCTAACTTGAAGCTTGAGCTTCCACAGGAATGAGCTGAGTTGATGACCTAAACAGTTGAGTTACATCATAGATTGGCCAATTTCCACGGCTACCCTGTCAAGCTTTCCGGGTCAGGATACCTTATCCAAACATCCATAGTTCATCCATAGTTCTTACCTGAGTCCCGTGGATTCTGAATTCATGGCAGCATAACATTTGCGAGTGCACAGCCCATCACTTTCCTTTTGGATGGCGTTTTCATTCTTATTGAATGGTGTCTTTTAGAGTTTATATTATCAGGGTGCAGAGGAACAGTGAGAACAGGCACACTGTACAGAGCTCAGCTGCTTGTAATTGTATTGGTATGCACAGACACTTGCATGAAGAATGCACTAGACAACTAGTCAGACAGTGTACTTACAGTCCAATGCGCACATGCACACACACACACACACGTAGACAAACGCAGAAAAAAAACACATGCGCACGCTAAGCCAAATGTGGACATGCCAAACAGAGACGAACACAAATCAAAACAAAGCATGCAAACACAAAGGAGATCCAGCGAATGAAGAAGACAGAGAGAATAGCACAGTCCCATCTGTCAAACAAATGTGAGGATGCTTCTAGCACGTGCGCGCGCGCACACTCGCAGCAAGCGTTATTTAGCCTGAACTTGAGCGATAGCTGCCTTTGTCCTTTAGCAGTTGGTCCTGAGGGCTTCGCAGTAGAAGTTGCATGAAAGTTTGTTTAGAGCCAAGCAAGTGTGTTAAGCTTTATGAGAGCCCATGGGAGACATGCTAGCACACACACACACATGCACACTCAGGCACGAGGCTTGGGCGGCAGCTCGCGATGGCCCCAACCAACAGTGAGGAGTTTGTTGTCATAGCAACAGTAAAATGAGATGACTTTACTGTCAGCCGTAATGTTTCATGGCCCCCTTGCCGCTATGGCAACATAACAAGGAGGAGGAAGAGGAGACAGAGAGAAAGGGAGCATCTGAGCCATCTCTGCATTCCGGTGGACTCCTACTAGGAACAATGTCACTCCGATGCCCTTTCTTCCTTCTCAAGACAAACACACACATGCACCGTGACAAGCCTGTCAAGCACACGCATAAATACGCACACACACACGCACACCTTGAAAAGCCTGTCAAGCACTCTTCCCACCTCGCCCATCCCTTTGATTGTGCTCTCACTATTCTCAGCTATCGTCACCGGGGCAATTTGAATTCATTATGCTCAATGTCAATATTGGTGCAGCAACACTGTACCTTCAGACAGGTACAGCTTGTTGAATGAGCGCGCGTGCTGTCAAATAGTGCGAGGACTGGAAAAGAGGGACGAGAGAGAGAAGAGAGAAACGAGATCAAAGCTTCGCCGAGCGTGTTCCTGCGCCCGTGGAGACCGTTAGATGGAGCGGCGAGGTGACTGTAGGCTGGCCGGCTATACGTGGAGCAAGCGCTATACATCACTGTTCTATATTTAGCGCCGTCCTTCCGCTGCAGCCCGTCGGCACCGTTAAAGAGAGTTATCTGCGCTGGGAGAAAAGTGAGAAAAGGGCGAGATGGGAGGGAGACGCGGCAGAGGAGAAAAGGAGATGAGTTGTTTTGCTCTGTTGCCATGGTGACGCAGTGGGCCAAAGCTGTAGCGAGCTGACAGTTGTCACCGTGCAACAACTCGCCACGGGTGACAGCTGTCAGTCAATCATCCAGAGTGAGGGGACAGATCGGCTGATGATCACCTTGGATTAGAGAGCGATCGCACCACA